TTTGTTCCTTTATTTTCCAACTGGGCTTTAAGTTCATTGAGGACAGAGCTCAGCTTAGGTTATGTTTATATTCAGCTTTTGACCTGGGCCAATAACACACTGGCCCTAAAAAAAAAATAACAAAATGAAACAGTGGTTAAAAACCCATAGACTTTTCTATTGCATAAATATGTTATCTATGATCATTTTTATAATAAAAATTATACTTTTTAAAAAACAAGATGGTAGCTAAATTCTGCCAGGATTTGGGACATTGGTACAATGGGTCTGTACAGTTCTTTGCCCTTTTTATAACCTGTGTAGATCTAACCACTACTACAATGGAAATGCAGAACTATTACAACATCTTAAAGATCTTTCTCCTCTACCTTTTCATAACACACCCCACAACCCGGCCCCCCTCCACCATCCCTAACTCCTGACAATCACTAGTCTATTCTCCATTCTATAATTTTAGTAATGTCACGTAGAATTTCATTTTGATTTACCTATAATGTTTGGAGAGTATAGCTACAGATATTTAGTAGGTGCTCCAGGTATAACATTGTATATAACTTATCTAGTTCTGCTTGTCTCAACATTACCAGTTTTAGTATAGAAATATTTCTTCCTTTTAAGTCCCTTCACTCTTTCATATTTATGACTATCTTTTAAAAAAATTGTTGTGAATATCTTAAATATTGTTACCTACATAATATGTCTGAGGGTGTAGGACAGGGGACACTGAACGTGGACCTCCTGGGCTTTGATCTTTAGAGGAAAGAAGAAATCGTGGGGACTGCAGAGTTCCTCCTCTCAGGCAGCAGTCACTTCATTTCTCGGTTTCCTTTGCGCAATTGCTGGAAGCAGAAACTACTGTGCTTATCCACTTCCCTAATCTATCCTGCACACAACCACGAATCCTTTGCTTACATCAACAGACATAATTTAGAAAACTCAAGAGAAGTAAAGCGTATTGTATTAACTTATTTTTTACTCTTGTTCTTCTTTCTTGATGTTCCAAGATTTTTTTAAAAATCATTTATATTTTGTTTCAAAAATTTCCTTTAGATATTTTTTAAGGGTAGGTCTACTGTTGATAAAGTCTCAGTACTTTTTCTAATTCCGAGAATGTCTTGATCTTTTTTTTTTTTAATATATATTTTATTGATTTTCCACAGAGAGAAAGGGAGAGGAATAGAGAGCTAGAAATGTCGATGAGAGAGAAACATCGACCAGCTGCCTCCTGCACACCCCCTACTGGGGATGTGCTAGCCACAGATGCACATACCCCTGACCGGAATTGAACTCGGGACCCTTCAGTTCGCAGACCGACGCTCTATCCACCGAGCCAAACAGATTTCGGCATTAATCTTTTTTTTTTAATTTTATTTTTCTGAGAGAGAGAGACCTTGATTTGTTCTTCCACTTATTTATGCATTCATTGGTTGATACTTGAATGTGCCCTGACCAGTGATGGAACTCACAACCTTGGTATACTGGGATGATGCTCTAACCAACTGAGCTACCTAGCCAGGGCTGTCTTGATTTCTTCTTCCTGATTTCCACTGGATATAGGATTTTGAGTTGACAATTTTTTCTTTGAGTGCTTTAAAAATGCTGTGCCACTTCCTACTGATGAGCTATTTGAAATAATTTAATGTTTTTTTCATGCTAGGGAAGGTTGTCTTCACTTTTCAGATTTGACTATGATGTATCTTGGCATGGATCTCTTTGGGTTACCCTAGTTTGGATTTGATCAAATGCTTGAGTCTGTGGGTTTATATCTGCCAAATTTGGAAAATTTTCAGCTTTATTTATCTGAATACTTTTTAAGCTCCACCTTCTTCTCTTTTTTTAGAACTCCAGTAACACATATATTAGATCTTTTCTTAGTTCTCCGTATTCCTGAGACTCTATTTTTCCCCCAGCCTATTCTCTCTCAGTAGTTTAGTTTGGGTGATTTGTATTATTCAGTCTTCAAGTCTATTCTTTCCTCTGTCCTTTCTATGCAGTGAGCTTTGTATTTCAGGTGGTTTTTGTTTGTTTTCAGTTCTAAAATTTCAATTTAGTCCTTCATCTCTTGTATTCCTCTGCTAAGACTATTTTTTTCTCTCATTTGTTTCAAGTAATTGCCCACTGAAGCATTTTTACACTGGCTGCTTTAAAATCCTTGTCAGGTAATTTCAATGTCTGTATCATCTTGGCATTTTATCTATTGATTGTATCTCTCACTCAAGTTGAGATTTTCTGGGCTCTTGGCATAAGGAGTGATTTGTCAATCTTGGACACTTTGAGTACTATGTTATGAGACTATAGATCTTAAATCTAGCAGGCTTCCTCCGACACTACTCCTTAATGGTTAGTGATGTTGAACATCTTTTTTATATACTTACTAGTCATTTGTATATCTTCTTTGGAGCAATGTCTATTCAGGTCCCTAGTCCATTTTTTAATTGGGTTGTTTGGTTTTGAGTTATAGTCATCTATATAATATTCTGGATATTGATCAGACATATGGGAAAAAAAGATCTTTTTATAATTGGTCTGCTTGAACCAGGATCTAACAAAATCACACTGTATTCGTGTTTTATTGTCTAATCCGGAGAAATCAAGGCTCCTAGAAGACTAAACCAAAATTAATAAGAGGAAGCCACTTATGTGGAGGCGGACACCGGAGGAAGGTGAAAGGGGTGTGAGGATCAGATGGGGGCGTGGTGAGCACATTTGAGTCACCAGCCAGGCCTGAGAGAACAGAGGATTCTCCCAGGATGCACTGGTGTTACTCAGAGACCCCCACCCACCACCCAAAGACTGTCTCCCCCCACCACGAGTGACACAAGGTAAATCCTGGGGACACCACCAGGACCACACTGTGGCTCTGCTCCCAAGGGAACACTGGAGAAGGTCCTAGCCCAGAGCTGTCCTGAACAGTTGGGGCCATCCTAAGAGTCTCTGAGCGCAAAGTAAGGCTGGAGAGCCTTCAGCATCCAGGCGCCATGGTAACCTGACTCACTGAGAGAACAGCTATGGCCGCTCATGTCTGGGCACTTGAAAAGATCACTAGAGCTATCTCTGGGATTAGGATTATGGGTGATTTTTTCCCCTGTATATTTTCCAACTGTTCTTGAGTCAACAGTGAAAAAGTGATCTTCTACTTAGAGCCACATCATTAGGGGTGACATAGATATGCCCCGGATGGCCATTATTGATGACAACTGAGTTTCTCCCGAAGAGCTGTGACTGGAAGGGGGAAAAGGGGTCTCAGACTCTCCTTGGAGAACCCAGAAGAGCAGCCCCTACCCACCGGCTGGGCCAGGACCCAGGAGCATGGCACAATCCAGGGAAGGCCAACCTGATGGAGGCAAGCAGTCTCCCAGCGCCTGGAGCCCAGACTGCTGTTCCTGGATCTGCCTGTGGCCGGCCCCGTGAGGCCTGGGACCCAGGAGGAGGGGGTCCAGCTTTCAGGAAACCCATGGCAAACCCACAGAAATCTACCCAAGGGGCCAGTCTCTCTTACCCAGGAGAGCCTTATCCCAGGTTACTGCTTCCAAACGCCTTCCAGACACAAATGAAACCTGCTGTTCCCAAAATAGAAAACTCTTTATTATAAACCCAGGATACAGGAGAAATGACACAGACATTTCTCAGTTCTCTTTGAACTCCTCGAAACGCATACAAACTAGGTGTGAAATACTTCCTGGAAATCTTTACAAAATACTCCCCAGTATCAAAGCGGGGAGAGGTGCATGGGGCTAAGTGCTTCATCATGATGGTGCAGAGAGGGGCCTTCAGGCCCTCCTCAGACCCCAAGGGAAGGTACCCCACACCAGCCATGCTGGAGGGGGAACAAAGGCACGCATCTTCTATTAGATTTAGGGTCCTGGGATCTGCTCTGTGACAGAGACCTGAGACCATGGTATTGTCTCCCCAAAGGAGAGCTTCAGATGAACTACTGTACAAATTCCCTGGAGAGGGAGAAGGAAAACAGCCGTCCGCTGCTGGCTTGCTGTGGGAGGTCAAGCAGCTCTCTTCCCTGCTCTGTGCTTCCCTGAGGGTGTAAATCCTGGCATATTTGGTCCTGTTTAGAGGCTGGTTTCAATGAAGTGGGGAAAATGGTGTGTGTGTTTGCATGTGTGTGTGTATGTATGTATGTCCATGTGCCCATAAGCTCTGGGGCAGGAGGCTCTTATGTGGCTATGGTTTGTAAACCGGTCCCAGCAAGCAACTTTGTAAGGCAATTCAGGTAGAAAACGCTGGTGGGCAAGCTCTCTGTGGGCAGCTCTGGGAGGAAGGCTTCTTGCTTCTCCCACATGATCAAGCCTCAGAACCCAAGCTTGCTGGGTCCCATCCCGTGCCAGGCAGAGGTGGGCGTGTGATCACTGGCACCTGGGTGGGTTGACGTGAAAGCAGCCCTAACTGCTTGGAGGACTTATCCCACCGAAGGTGGCAAGAGGCTGGGAGGAATCCAAGAGGCAGACAGAGGGGAACCCACAGGGAGGGGGGGAATCAGGCTCAAAGGCGGGATCTCTGTGCTAGGCCCGTATCTACCCCGCGGGGCAGGAGGAAGTGGGGTGTGAGGTGGGCAATGAGCAGGCACCCTTGTGGAAGCAACTGCCCTGGCAGTAACCAGCACGTGGCCCCAGCCACCAGCTCTCTCCCAGCCACGATCTGGCTGCCCCAGGAGACCCAGCACAAGGCCCCGCCATTTCCCACAGTGACTCGAACACAGCGACTCCCTGTTCTCCCCACCCTACAGAGTTACCAGGCAGAGAAACTGAGGTCTAAGGCGTGTGGATGGGCCAGAGATGGCGCCTCCGAGTCCCAGCTGGCACATCCCCTGGCAGCCGTCGGTTCCACGCAGGACATGCAGTATGATGTCCAGAAGTGTCCAGTGGCTGCGGATGTGTCCGTGGAGTTGGCATCTCAAGGAATCCCCTACAACCGCAGCGGGACGCAGAAGCAGAAGTACATGTACAGGCAGACGGACACACGGACACCCAGGGTACCAGGGCAGTCTTTCAGGGCAGGGCCAGGGCTTTGGCAAGGCGAGTCCAGAACCAAGACTTGGTGCAGGGGTTGGTGTAGTCACAGACCGTGATGAACCGCAGGATGCTCGGGAACTCTCTCTTCATGGCCTTGTACTTGACGGGGATCAGTCGCTTCTGATGGGCGCCTGCATGCCAAGGAGCGCCGAGCTGGCACCGGGCCCTCATCCCACAGTGGGGGAGAGGCCGGTCCCCAGACCAGGGATTAACAACAGCTCTCCCTCAACGAAGAATCCCTGGTACACACCCACCCCCACAAAAGGCACCCAGATGTGCAGGGTTCCCCGGTACGGCACCCATAGTCCTGGGTGAAGGAAGGCTGGCATTCTGAAGCCCCACCCCCCACCCACTCTGCTGTAGCGAGGGAAGGACTGCGCTTACCTGGAGAGAGGCTGAGCGCAAACTTAGTCTGGAAGTCACATTCCTTGCTCTGCAGGTAATCATCTGAGACAACCACCACCATCCGGCGGCACCTAGGGAGGAGGGGAGGCACTGAGGCAACCTGAGGGGCGCCCAGGCTAGACAGGGCCCAGCTGGGAAAACCCCAGCCTCCAGGCCCCTGGGCGGGGCTTTGTGCACCCACCCACCCACCCACTGGCGCCCTGGCCACCTTACCAACCTCTTCTCGATGAGCTCACTGGCAATGGACCAGACACAGGTGCCGGGCAGGACGTCCCTGTCGGACACACACAACTTGAGCCGGTAGTTTGTCTGTTCCAGCTGCTGGATCATCTCTTGGACAAACTGGATGTCACTGGCGCAGTAGCAGATAAAGGCATCAAACCGCTCCGGCATTTGCCCTGGGTGCAGAGAATGAGGATAATGGTCAGGGCTCAGTGGACGGCTGGGGAGAAGGCCAGCCAGGAGCCCCCAGCTTGGGGGGCCCCGGTCCTGGACCCCACACCAACCCTGTGACGACACGACTCAGAAGAGGAAAGACTCCAGGAGAGGAAAGATGAGCATTCCCCAGCACCCCTGCCCTGGGCCAAGCCCCGGGCTCACGTCGGACAAATACATCCTTTCACGGATACCCACCCAGAGGCAGGACTTGTCTTATTCTTTCCATTTCGTAGGTGAAGAACCAGGCTCAGAGAGGTTAAGTTATTTGCCCAAAGTGCCAGTTCATCTGCATTCAACGGCCACGCTCTACACACCACAATGTCCTATGGCCCATCTGCCCGTCCTGGGTCAGGGGGGGACGTATGGGGACCTCACCCAAGGGGTCGTCGAGTGTGGTGATGCCCGCCAGCTCTGCTGTCCGGGGGACGCTGCTGTCCACAGCAGCCACCTGTAAGGGCTTCTCAGACTCCTCCTGCTGTTGCTTCAGAATGTACTTCTGGCAGTCCTCCTCTGCGAGGAAGAGAAGGAGTGTGGCAGGCCGCCCCGGGGTGCCCGTGCCACCACCCACAGTCAGGATCCACCCCGTAACCACGTCCACTGGTGTCACCCACGGTCTGACAGCTCGGGCAAGCTGAGCTCCCGTCTGGCTCTGACCATCCCAAAGGGATGTCAATGGCATGTCCCTCTGGGAAGCCATCACGGTCCGGTTTGTATCTTTCTGTCCTTTTGCCCTGACACCCTTTCCCAGGGCTCCTGCGGACAGACCCAAGGTCTGTTTCTTGTAGAACCCGCAGCTGATGTGAACAGGGGGCTGGGCAGCGGGAAGGGCTCAGGAGACCGTGGTTATGTGCAGGGAGGGCAGAGGCTCCAAGCAAGCAAGCAAGGGGCAAACCCCCCCCCCCCCTGTCTATGCATGAGGAGGCGCGTTTCCTTAGGGACCTGACGCGTCAAGACTGTCAGCGCTCAGGTGTGCAGTGGTCAGTCCCTCCCCTGCCCTGTGGCTCTACCTGAAGCAGCTCAGACACCACCCCCCCACCCCCTCCGCAGAGGACCCGGATTCTGACCCCGGGTCCTACCCAAAAGCCTTCGCCTAAGCGGTTTCCCTTCGCTCTCTGCGGGCCTCCACCTCCTTTCTCTGGTCTCTCTCATCCTCGGCATTGAAAGAGGGAACAGGTCCCACACAGTTCTCCCTCTGCAGGCCGAGTCCCCTCTCGATCCCCCCAGGAAAGGAGGGCCTCGCGGTGGGAGAGACTGCTTGCCGAGGCCGGCGAAGGGCAGCAGCTCCCCCATCCCCCGGGAGAGACCGGCACGGCGCGTCCTCACCGATGCTGGGCCTCAGTTCCAGCAGCACGTCGTCGCGGCCCAACTTGGCGAGCAGCTCGAGCAGCCTGCCCACCGAGGCGCCGGGCCGGCCCTGCCAGTCGTCCAGCAGCTTGCCCGTGGGGTCGGCGTGCGCCTCCAGCTGCCGGATCTCCAGGTACTCGAAGCCCATCTCCTCGGCCAGCGCGCTCCAGTCGGCCGCCACCGCGGTGCGCACGTTCAGGAACAGCGACAGGCGGCGCCGCACGCGCACGTTGAGCGCGGCCAGGGGCAGCGAGGCCGCGGCGGAGGCGCCGGGCGCGGGGCCCGCACCCGGGCCGGCAGCAGCCATGGCCGGCAGCCCTGCAGCTTCCGCACAGTCCCGTCGGATCTCTGGCCCGCACTTCCTCCTGCCTTTCCGGGCCCGGCCCCCGGCTCCCCGGCCCCGCCCCGCGGGCTTCCCTTTCCGAGAAGCGCCGCCCGGCTCTCCGATCTGGAGCGTCCGCAGCTGCGCGGAGGCGGAGGCCGAGGCCGGGCGTCCCGCCCCTGCCCTCGGGGGATCCTGGATGTCTGATGAGGAAACTGGGTGCCTGCCTTTTGAGGTCTGGGGAGGCACCCCACCGACCAGTGCCCGGGGTCCTGGTGCGGGGCGGGGGGGAGGGAGAGGGGAAGGAAGAGGGGGAAGGGGATGATGGCTCATCCTCCTTCGGGGTTTGGACCAAAAGGGGGCCTCGCTCTTTGGGATCTGGTGGAGTCACAGCTTTCCAATTGGGGCTCTGAAGGGTTCGTGCGGGCCTGCCCTCGAGGCCGGTGGGAAGGAGACAAGGATTGTGTGTCCCCATCTCTTGGGAACGCACAATCCTGCCCATAGAGGTGTGGGGAGCCCTGGGCTGTCCACCCAGAGGTAGCGGTGGGAAACCCATACCGCCTTCTTCAGTCTGAGGCCCTGTCCTTGAAAAGTGGGAGACATAATCCCACCTTCCCGGGCTGGGGGTTGGGGTTGGGGTAACCGGGCGCCCTGGCTTTTGGTGTGGGAGTGGGGGGTGGGGGAACTAGTGCAGCAATTCACACTGCTGTGCCATAATTTTTAAAACATGCAATACCTGACTATTCAATAGGGGTCGCTGACCTCTTTTTCACTAGATTGTAAACCAACCAACCAAAGACAACAGTCAACACAGCAATAGGTGAATGAATCAAAATTATTACAAATATATCTTTTGTCAGATGGGCAAAAAAATACAATATAGTTTTTGTCATGCCCCAGAATTTTAGTAATTATGTGTGTCCTGAGATGCAAAAGTTGAAATCATTGCTCAAGGGAAACATATTACCATTGGGAGGCAAGGGCACACCTGGCCTTGCTCTTGAGGGTTGGGGGAGACTCAACCCTGACCTGGGGAGCTCTGGGTCTTTCGTCCACTCACCCATTCGTTCGTTCTCTAGCTATTTATGGATCTCTTACTGGGTGTCAGCATGTTGCAGGCCCCGCGGATTCCTGCCTTGGTGGAGACCCCAGCTAAAGTGGTTCGGTGGGCACCAATCCAATCACCCCAAATGACTGTAAAACTGGCCATTGGAATACGTGTATGGTGCTCTCTCTCCAGATAGGAGCTTGTCACATCTCCGCACCATTGTGAAATCCACTCTCTGGCCGCCTCACAATCCCCAATTCCTTAGTCTTCTCCAAAGACCTCCCAGGAGAATCCCCCAGCACGAGGGGGTAGGGCTCTGGGGCGGCTCAGAATTGTTTAGGTGCTGGGACCCCGGAGACAGCGGAGATGGCCGGGAACAGGGAAGCGGCCCCCCGAGCAAGAGGCCCCCCGGCGGCGGGCAGCGGGCTGGGTAGCCGGGGGAGGGAGTCTGGCCGCGGCGGAGCGTTTTCTTGATACCGAAAGGGCTCCCGGAGCCCCGCCCCCGGTCTGGCCACCTGCGTTCCGGCTGCATTTCTGGGCGGGGCCACCGCAGGCGGGGCTTGAAGTGGAAAGACCCTTCTGGCGGTGGCTGTGACCTGTGATAGGTGGTTTCGTTGCGCCGTAGGCGGGCCTTAAGGTATACTCGTCTTCTGGTTGGCCGCGGCGGGGGTGGGCGGGACTTCGGGGAAAGGGGCCTGTCTATCCACAGGGCGGTGGACAGTGGGCGGTGTTTAGGCTTAGAGGGCAAAGGTTCCGTTCTCGATTTCGCTGGCGACGGTCCTTAGGCTGCGGCCCTCGGTACCGGGCCGGGTGGAGGGGTCTGTCGGGCCGGGCTGCGCGATGCGGAGACTGCAGGTGGTGCTGGGCCACCTGAACGGCCGGCCCGACTCGGGTTCGAAGCCTGCGCCGCAGGCCGCGCCGTGCTGGGGCGGCCCTCCGCGCGCGTCGCCCGAGGACGTGGTGGTGGTGCACGGGCGGCGCACGGCCATCGGCCGAGGGGGCCGCGGCGGCTTCAAGGTGAGGCCCTGGATCCGGGCGCGGGTGTGAGATGGCGGCAAGGGGATTCCCCTCGACGCTGGACGTGGCCCTGCGCCCGGGCGGTGACAGCTCTGCCTCCCTGGGGTGGGAATGGGGGGGCCTCCCCAGGAGCGCAGGGCACGGGGTCACGGCGGCCACGCTTCCCGCTGCAGGACACCACCCCCGACGAGCTTCTCTCGGCCGTCATGACCGCGGTTCTCCAGGACCTCAAGCTGAGCCCGACCCAACTGGGAGACATCTGCGTGGGTGAGCTCGCTACCCAGGCCCTGGGCTGGGCGCTCTTCGCCTTCCGTCCCGCTGAAGTCCTCCAACACTTCACCCCCAGGCACGGTCCTGGCGTTCTCCCAGAGAGGAAAGTCCGAAAAAGTTTGTCTTTTTAGGGCTAAACTCCGCCCCCGTCTCTAGGCACTTGCTTGGCCCTCCAAGCACCCTCGGCGGATGAAGTGGTAAGGAGCAGGGCTGTCAAATGACGCACATTCCACCGCCAAGACTCTTGGCACAGGGGTGTGAGGACATCCTAGGAGCCAGAAAACTCTAGAATTCTCACTGATCCTGACATCCAGATTCTGCTACCACAGAATGGAGGGAGTGCCAAAAAGCAGTCTAGTCCGGTTCCTCACCTACAAAACGGAGAAACAGAGGCCTGGGAATTTGCAGCAGAACTTTGGATCTGAATGGGTCAACCCTTTCCCCCCACCTCTACTCTTCTAGCCTGAAAACATAACACCGTGTGGCAAGAGCCTTGCTAAAACGCTGTGGAGGCCGTCACCCCTAGGTTGGCAATCGCTGTTCCACCTACAGAGTGACAGCGGGTTGTGGCCGAGGACACTCGGGGAGGTGTGGGTTTTCAGAGCCCCAGTTCCCTGACTGACAGAACCAGTTTGTTTGACATCAAGCTTTGCATGGCGTTCTTTGCATTGCGTTCTTTCCTTTGCATGACACCTTTCTTTACAGGCAGGCAACCTGCCCATGGTGTGCCGATCAGGAAAGGTGGGGGGCGGGGGGCACCGGGTGAGGGAGTTTGGGACCCTCGGGGACTGTGTCTAGTGTGTGACCAGGAAGAGCTGCTATGTAGCTTGCTCCCCCCAGATCCACACCTTGAAATCTCAGAGCCTCAAGGGAGCCTGTTTCTGAAGAAAGATCTGGAATGTTCCCTCTCTGGTATTCACACATGTACCTCCGTGCCCCAGCCACCCCCGGGCACTGAACAAAGGTTTGTTGTCCACAGGAAACGTGCTTCAGCCGGGGGCCGGGGCGGTCATGGCCCGCATCGCCCAGTTTCTGAGGTGAGCTCCCAGTTCTAGCTCTGGGTTGGCCATGTTGACTCTCAAGTGGGCTCGGGCTTTGGGGAACTCGGCTGGTGGATGGGAGAAGATCCAGTTGGGCACCAGACCTGGAGACAACCAGGGTCCTCAGGGCCAGGCTTGTGGGAACCCTTTCTTTCCTCTACTTGGAAGGGAGATGGGTTCCCTGCCTCAGGGCCAAGACAAACAGGGCCTGTGGGGCTGTAGCAGATGATCTCTGTGACCTGAATCACAGCCAAAGCCAATGTTGGTAAGTACTGTTTGGACTCTGTCCTCCTTTGCTAGGCCAGTGACCAAGCAGGTACTCTGAAGAGTGACGCTCAGCTTTTTTGCCAGTTGAGCAGGTGGGGACCTTCAGGCGAATCCCATTGGTAGAGACTTGGGGCCACAGCAGAGCCCTAGGCGAGGGGTGGCCCAGGAAAGGCCCTGGTAAACTTGCCCTTCGCTTCTTGCTGTCCCAAGACAGAGGAGTGCTTAGGTTACTCTCACTGTACATTTAAGACCCACTTAGCTATGTATGCCATCTGCTTAGAGGAGAAATAGGGGGAACATTGGCCGGTGAAGGAACAGGAACACTGAGCAAACCTCTAGGCACTAGAAGAGGTTCTGGCTGCTTAGCCTGGAGTTCAAGGGCTCCCAGGATCTGGCTCCAGACTTACCTTCCAGCCTTATCTCCCAGCTGCTGACTGGCCTTGACTCCTCCTTTCAGCCAGCCTGTCTGCCTACTAATCCTTATGCTGGTCACTCTGTCCCCTGGTAGTGCTGTCGCTGCCTCCTCTCTTCCCTGGCTAACTCTGCCCAGGGTCACCATTGCATGACTTCCCTGAGCTCCCAGGCTTAACACGAGGACCTCTCCAGTAGCTAGCCTCGTGCTTCCTTGTGACGTTCTTTCCCATCTTGCTCTGTTGTTTCTGTCTCTGCCAGTTGATTCATCTTCTGTGTTGGTCAGGCATCCTCCAGGGCCTTGGTCGGCAAACTGCGGCTCACGAGCCACATGCGGCTCTTTGGCCCCTTGAGTGTGGCTCTTCCACAAAATACCACGGCCTGGGCGAGTCTATTTTGAAGAAGTGGCGTTAGAAGTAGTTTAAGTTTTAAAAATGTGGTTCTCAAAAGAAATTTCAATTGTTGTACCGTTGATATTTGGCTCTGTTGACTAATGAGTTTGCCAACCACTGCTCATGTCAGCACCCCTCAGGTGGTGTCTTGTACTGAATAGATTCTGTTCAGCGTACACTTGGGTTTCGAGAAGGGATGGTAATTAGAGAGTTAGGGGATCTAGGAGACTGTCTGCACACCAGAATAACCAGATGCTTTGACACCCCTACAGTTTAGTCCATGCATCTGGGAGGGTCTGGTGATTTCCCCAGGACTGGTTACATGAGGAGGGGCAGCCCCACCGGCTTCCAGGGCAGGAACCCACCAGAATAAGAAGTGTTAGAACATCTGATATCTTCAGGATCTTTGACCGGCTTTCCAGAGAGAAGGGAAACAGAAAGAGTTAGCCAGGAGGCTGAGGAGTAGGGATGGTTTCTGGCCGCATACTTCCTTTTTCTCTGTTCTTTGGGAGAAGATACACTATAGTTTTCATTTTTTTTAATCTTCAAAGGGAAGGAAGGATCCCTGTGGCCTAACTAGTTTGGCTCTGCTCGGCCTTGATGGAAGAGGGTCACAGATAGGGCGCGGGGAGCACGTGCTTGTACGGCCCTGGGAACAAGAGCCTGTAGAGATGGGGTCTGCCCAGGAGGGACCTGGCCTAGAGAAGGGACAGGCTGACTGTGGCCTCACCTTCTGTTTCAGTGACATCCCAGAGACTGTGCCTTTGACCTCTGTCAACAGACAGTGTTCTTCCGGGCTCCAGGCAGTGGCTAACATCGCTGGTAAGTTGTGGCTGGGTGGGTGCCCGTTGCACAGCCTGGCCTTGGCCATGGCTCTGTGAATTTGGGTTAGTTGAGTCACTATCTACTGGGCACGCAAGGAGGATGTCTGAGAGGACTCTCATCCCAGAAAGAGGAGAGCCCTCTGCACTACCCCCAGGCTTTTCTGGACACTCCTGGGCCTTCCCAGTCTGAGGCTGGAGCCCACGTAGACACCAGGTGGGGAGAGGGCCCCCGTTCCTCTGGACGACTCCAGGCAGGACGACTCTGTGGAAGGATGTTTATGAAATGCTTTTGTTGCAGGTGGCATCAGAAATGGGTCTTATGACATTGGCATGGCTTGTGGGTAAGAATTTCTTTCTGCCAGAGCTTATTGACCAGCTTGTAACAATAAACTAATATCCATCTCCTGTGTTCAGAGAGGCCATGATTTCAGGATTTTCTCCTTTAGGCAGCTGCCTGGAGGGAGGGTTCCTACAAATGGGGCTTAGAAGGAGCCCTCAGCTCTGGCTGCTCAGGAATCACTTGCACCTCTCGGCACTGATGGGGAAAGGAAGTGGGCTTTTCAAAGCTTTCTCTCTTGGCACCTGGCAGGCTGGAAACTGGGCAAGCATGAGAAGATAGAGCTCTAAGGTTTCCTTCCCTGGCCCTTGTTCATTCACGATGCAGCTGAGGGAGAAGCTGCAGTTTTGCTTCCCTCATGCCAGAGACAGCTGCCTACTCTAACCGGCTAATCCACCTTCTGGCTGCCTCCTGGGTCCTGAGGGGCATGGTCAGATCTGTGAGGGTTGGTCACTGTCCGCTGTGGCTCCATCTTTCGCTGCAGTTATGGAGCTGCAGAGGTTGTGCTGGGCAGTGTCTCCTGGGAGGGACGGGTGTGGGGCCCGGGCTTGACGGGCATCCGGTGCTGGGAGGGCAGGCCAAGCCAGGGCTCTGGCAGGCCTGGTGGGGAGGGGGTGGGAAGTGGCCCCTTTCAATCCCCCTGAGAGTGTTTCTTCACTAGAGCATTGTGGGCCCTTTCAGGGCTGTGTTGCCCTGTGTCTGCAACTGAATAAAACCAAAGGTCGCAGTACAGGGACTTTGGCCCATTCTGCCCTCGGATCAATCTCATGTCCCTCTATCTTGCTGCGGGAAGGCGGAGTCGGGGTAACTGGGGTAAAGGCTGGAGCTTCATGAGTTTCTTACACACGTCTGAGGCCCCCTAGCAGGTTAAAGACCTTGTTACTAGGGTATTAAGGTCTGAGCCAGGACTGTCCCCCATGTCACAGGCTGGCTGTCCCTGTAGGCTTTGATCATGATGAGTATCCCAGAACATCCTGGTTAGGAGTGGGCTCTGAGGCCAGACCACCTACATTTGGATCCCGGCTAAATGACCGTGAACAAGTTAGCCTCTCTAGGCCCATCTATACAATGGGGATAGCCACCTCCATGAGATTGAATTAATAACAGCTAACGCTCTAAGGCATCTATGTGACTGAGTCTGTTCTGAGTGCTTAAGACTTGGACTTTACAATAGTACTGGGCACAGAGAAGCATTCCATCAGGGTTACGTGTTATCAACCCTGAGGCCTGTGTTCCCCACCTCCTCGAAGCCCTTCCACCACAATACACCGATCTCACTTCCTAGGACTTCCTCATCCAGCCGGTCACATCTCTCTTTGGCCTGCATCTTGTAACATTTTCCTCTCTTCTCTCCTCTGAATCTGATCCTTGAGGACTGAGCCCTGGGCTTGTTGGAAGTTTTCCCCTCTGTGGCCGACGCTAGCCCAAGCCAGGGGGGCAGCTAAGGAGGGAAACATCCTGCCGTGAGGGTGGACCATGCGGTGCTCTATCCCCTACCCCAGCTCTGGCCCATTGGCCGTGTCCTGGGGCTCCCTACTTCCCAGCTCTTGTCAGGTGCACCGGGATCTTTGGCTGAGTTCTAATGATCCCTCTTCCTCCTCTTCCTCCTCCTCAGAGTGGAGTCTATGTCCCTGGCTGACAGAGGTAACCCTGGAAATATTACTTCACGCTTGGTGGATAAGGAGAAGGCCAGGGACTGCCTGATTCCCATGGGGTGAGTGTTCTCTTGGAGCCGGGTGCCATGTCCTTTGCTCCCTGCCTGGCCTGCTTCAGGTCTGCTCTGCAGGGCCTCGATGCTGCCTTTCCTGCATCCCCAGGCCCTCTCTGTGCCTCTGATTCCAAACATTGCCTAGCCCAGTGGTCGGCAAACTGTGGCTCGAGAGCCACATGTGGCTTGCGAGCTGCGGTTTGCCGCTCTGTTGACTAATGAGTTTGCCGACCACTGTCCTAGCCTGTCCCTCCCTCCCTGGGGGTTCAGTCACATGAAGGATGATGCAGCTGCACTCAGTGCCTTGGAGAATTAGAAAGCTGAGGAACTAGGAAGCTTTGGTGACTGGACATGCTGGTGAAGGAACTTGGGTCCAGCAGATGCAACCTGGAAGTGTGTTGTTTGCCTAGCATGTTAGCTCTGCTGTCAGCGCCAGAGCTTCGGGGCAGGGAATCCTGGCTCCACTTGAGGTTCAGAGAGGGCAGTGCCCGGGCTGCCTCCACACCCCGTGACCAGATCTCCAGGAAAAGCCCCTGAAGCCAGAAGCCCAGGCCAGGCCTCCCTGGGCTCTGGGTTCCCAGGATGAAGACCGGCTCCACCTCCAGCAAACAGGAAGCTGGGGCGTGATCTCCCCAGAGGGCCGTGGAGTCCTCATCTCCCACATTAAGGCCGTTTTCCTGAAGTGCAGAAGGAGCTGCCCAAGAGCCCCTAGGAGTGCCCCCTCCCCGGCCCTCTCTGCCCTCTCCTCTTCTGGTCTCTGGTGTTCGCGCTTCTTAGGACCCGGGTGGCTCCCTGTCCGTGCCCCCACACTCCCTGATCTTCATTACTATCTCTGTGCCTTCCTGTCCTCCCGGTGCCGAGTCCCTCCGCCTGGCCGGTCCCAGGCTGCCGGACTCACCCACTGCTGCTGTCTTCTAGGATAACCTCGGAGAACGTGGCCGAGCGGTTTGGCATTTCACGGGAGAAGCAGGATGCCTTTGCACTGGCTTCCCAGCAAAAGTGAGTGTTGTGTGGGTGGAGTGTTTAAGAGCGCACCTAAGTGGTCTCAGGTGAGGCTGTCCGCAGACCAATTACAGGGCAGCGAGTGGTTTCCACGTCTGTGCCTTGCGGGAGGGAGAGGGGGCAAGAGCCAGGGCCAGTGTGCATTCATTCTTAGCACTTCGACATCCTACTATTGTCTGTTCACCCTGAGTGTCTTCTTCCTGCTGGGCCTCAGTTTCCCCATCTGCTCATTTGAGAGGCGGAGGGAGGGTTGTAATGAGGGCCAGGACTCTTCTCTAACTGCTGTGGTTTGGTGGTTAGACATGGTAGCCACAGGCTCCTCTGCAAAGCCTGAGTGTGGGGCCAGCATTGCTGGCAACCTGGGCATCGCTTCCTGAGGCTGGGGCTGGGATGACATCAGAACCCCAGGACTTGGGGCTCTGGGCAGGGGCAGGCTGAAGCTGGCAAGCCCCAGCTGCCCGGGGAGAACACAGCAGAGGGAGGGAGCTTCTCTGAGGCGCTGGTTCTTAGCCACTTGGCGTCAAGTAGTGTGAGAATTTGGTGAGAGCTGTAGATTTCTCCCAGGGGAATCCCCTGGGCGCTTACATTTTGCCTGTGATTGTAAATTATAAGCAGGATCTTAAAATAGGGGACACGTGAACTGAGCCATTCTGGTCAAACAGTCGGCAGAATCAAGCACAGATATCCCCGGGGCTCCATCCTCGCTTTGGCACAGAAAGCAGAGCAGCCTCAGTCCCTCATGGCTGTCAGACTAAATGGGGCGCCCCCACCCCACTTTCTTCCTTTTAAAGTTGGGATTGGCCAAGATCTGAGGTCAGTGAGGTAGCAGGAAACCCACACCAGTCCCTCGGAGCTCCCCCAAGGCAGGGGTGTCCCAGCATTTTGCAGTCTGAGCTGCGTGTCGGCCCCAGTGGGGAGGACGTGGAGGCAGCAGAGGGACCCCAGGCAGGAAGGGAACCTCACTGTCCATGGTGCTCCGCGTGGCAGGGCAGCGAGAGCCCAGAGCAAGGGCTGTTTCCAGGCTGAGATTGTGCCTGTGACCACCACGGTCCATGATGACAAGGGCACCGAGAGGAGGATCACCGTGGCCCAGGATGAGGGGATCCGACCCAACACCACGCTGGAGGGCCTGGCCAAACTGAAGCCTGCCTTCAAGGAGGGCGGCTCCACCACCGCTGGTGAGACGGGGCTGGGTGGGGCACGCCCATGCCGGACAGACTCTGGGAGCCTGGCGCCACCAGGTGGGGTGGGCGTGGGGGCCTGGGCCTCCTGGGACCTGCTCTGAAGCCTCCTTACCCCTGTGGTTTGCTTCTAGGAAACTCTAGCCAAGTGAGCGATGGGGCAGCTGCCATCCTGCTGGCCCGGAGGTCCAAGGCGGAAGAGTTGGGCCTCCCCATCCTTGGGATCCTGAGGTCCTATGCGGTGGTTGGGGTCCCACCCGACATCATGGGCATTGGACCTGCCTACGCCATCCCTGAAGCTTTGAAAAAAGCAGGTAGGCGGCTCCTCCATGCCCTAGGTCTGGATCCCGCAGCTGCCGGAGGGCGGCGGTCCCGTGGGTGCTGCGGAGTGAAGGTGGGACAGACTAGCACCCCTGCCAGAGCCCTTCCCGACCACACAGCGGGGACCCACTCCTTCATCTGGAACAGAGACAGACACACGGGGCAGCCTAAGACCTCGCGAGACCGAGGGTCCTGTAAGGGTTAGGGGGCGCTGGGTCAGCCTGGGTCTTTCCCCCTTGCCTGCAGGGCTGTCGGTGCGCGACGTGGACATCTTTGAGATCAACGAGGCCTTTGCCAGCCAGGTGAGCCTCTGCTTCTCCACGCTGCCCGGGCCCTCGGCAGCCCGGTGGAGACCGGGGTGCAGGGGGCGGGAGGGAGCGGGAGCTGATGTCTGCCTCCTCCCAGGCAGTCTACTGCGTGGAGAAGCTCGGATTGCCCCCCGAGAAGGTGAACCCTCTGGGGGGTGCGGTCGCCTTGGGCCACCCACTGGGCTGCACCGGGGCTCGACAAGTCATCACGCTGCTCAACGAGCTGAAGCGCCGTGGGAAGAGGTGAGGCCGACTCTCCGTGGGGGTGTCACGGGGGATCCCCATGCTGGGCACCCAAGGGGGTTAGGGGAAGGATACTTGCACACACTCCGTACTAAGGATACAGAGCCATGACCCCCGTTTTCCATGAGAGGCCGCTGTGGAGGGGACCCTGGGCTGCAGCAGACACCTGCCATGTGTGTGCCTAGGTGGGCAGTCGGGGAATTCCATACCCACAGCTTCCATCCTCTGTGCCCATGAAGGCCTTGGTCTACCCAGCTCTGCCCGGTCTGGAGGGAGCCTGGTGGGGCTTCTGCCCTTTCTGCCCTCACCCACCCAACACGGCGTTCCTTCCACAGGGCATACGGGGTGGTGTCCATGTGCATCGGGACCGGAATGGGAGCGGCTGCTGTCTTTGAATACCCTGGCAACTGAGCGAGGCGCTGCCCACTCTGCTGGAGGCGAGAAAGCGACACTACGGGAGTGACGCCACATGGGGAAATTCGGCATGGTGGTGTGGCGGCAGCGGGCAAATCCAGGCACTTCAGCTGACCACGTGACCACTGAGGACACAGTGCAGGAGTGGGCGAGGTACTGGGTCACCCAGGCCACGAGGCCACCGTGTAATGACGGGGCAGGAGCCTTTGGATGAGGATGCAATAGACATATTGATGTACGTCAGCTCTGACCATGTTTGTCTTGCCTCGGCGCAGTCTGAGTATTGATTCCTAACCACCGTGAGGCAGCCTCAGAGGACGGGCATGCAGGACCTGAGCTGAGACCAGCTCCCTCCGTCCAGGGGCTGCTCAGGTCCTGCAGCGTGTGGCCTGCACAGCACACCTGTCCTGAGCTCTGGGCCATGTTTATTTGCAAAGCTGGCTGGGGGTGCGGAGGTTCTGGGGGCAGAGCCTCAGGACTGGTAGGGTGGCACAAATCTCTCATCGAAAGAGCCTCGGCCCCGGAGCCGCAAGGTGCAGGCCTTCTCGCCGAGCATACCTTCCACGACCAGCGTGGACTCGTACAGCTCACTGCTCCTGTGGGCATAGGGGGCTGAGGTGAGGAGGGAGTCCAGCCTCGGGCGGTGCCGGGGGCTGGGCGGGGTGTACCTGGCGGTGAAGAGAACCTGCAGGATGATGGAGGTGGGCGGCGCGTTGACAGACCGTGCCTCCAGCAGCCCGCTGCTGGGGAAGACCCTGAAGGCCGCAGGCTCCTGGTCCGGCTCCTGGCCTGCACAGCAGGGAAGGGAGCACGTACATGGCAGTGGCCACACGCGCTGCCCCAGGAAGTCCGTCCCTGCAGACACCCCAGGGGGTGCCAGCCACCTTCCTGGGGGCCGGCCCAGCTCACAGGGGAGCAGTGGGTGGGAAGGACGCATGGCATACCCATCAGCACGGCCCAGTAGCTCCGGCAGCCGCTCAGGTTCATCAGGTAGATCTCCCGGACCCGCTCCTGGTTCACAAAGCAGGTCCCAAAGTCCACCCAGCTGGTGGAGAGCTGCAGCTCGGGCACGGCCACGGTGGCCTGCAGGGGCACCACCTATGGGGACAGAACCGCTCACGGTGGGGACCAGGTGACTTTGCCACTCCTGGTGGGCTCTGAGCCAGCGTCTCAGGGACACACGAGCCCTGCTGACCCCAAGAACTGACGCTTCTGAGGAGCACACAGGCAGCACGGGGAGGTGAAGGGGCCGGCGCCGGGTCTAAAGCCGGAAGCTGCTGGTGGGCTTCTGCACAGGGGAGGGCGCCATCTGCTCCCCCTGCCACCCTTGCCCTGATCAAGCTCTGTGGCTTCTGCTCCCTGGCCGGGTGCTGTCCTGCCTTCCTCCCTGCTCCCACGGGGGCTCCAAGGCCCAGCCTGTTTTCCTTGGGCCCTAGGCCACCTCCCCCTTTCCCTTGACATCGGGCCCTGCCACCACTTCACCCTCAGGCACTGCCATCCACCTCCCCGCCTTGGCCTTCCCTGCCCCGGGCTCCAGTGCTCAGATCCTCTGGCCTCTCTGGAATCCACCTCTCAGGCTGGACCATTCCTTCACATTTCTCATGGGCTTCTACCTGCCTTGGCCTACCCATCAGGACAGCACGGCCTACCCATCAGCTCAGTGCCACACACAGCCCGTGACTTGTCACGGTCCCCAGAACTGGGCCTGTGTACTCACTGGTGCTCAGCCCCCCACGGGCCCGAGCATCTGTCCCTCAGGTGCTCACTATTCCCACCCATCGGGCCATTCCCTCTGCCCGACTTTTAATGTGGTTCCTTTTCCTTAAACAGTGATTAAATGGGAGGCTTCACATGCCACCTCCTACAGGAAGCCTTCCCGATTTTTCACTTTATAGCACCTTACCTGGCTCTGAGCTCCTAAGACAAGTAAGGATGAATGACCCTCATCTGTCAGTGACAAGGCTTCTTCCAAGACAGGCTGGGCCCTCAGTATGGGCTTGGGCTCCTCCTATTTCTGAGGGCCCCGTCAGGCTTTGTCTTCCTCTGACTCCACCGGAACAGCGAGGGGCAGGCCTGGCACTCACCTGAGTGGTCTGGTTGGCATACTCCAGGCGCAGGTTCTGGGTAAACACCATCTCTCTCTCTCCACTCGCGCTCTGCCGAATGTCCACCCCGGGCAGCATCTGGTCAGCTGGCAGCTTCTGATAGCAGAGCAGCTCCAGGGAGAGCGTGAAGGACACGTCCACCTGGCAGACACGATGCAGCCGTCACCCGAGGCTGCTGAAGGCAGGCGGCAGCTTCTGTCCGGCCCTCCCTCCCATGGCCCCGCAGGCCCCTCAAGGCCCAGCTCAGTCATGACAGCACAGCCTGCAGGGCTCCACCGACCCAGCCCTGCCCTGCAAAGAGCCAGCGGTGTGCTTCCCCACCCCCATCCAGAGCCCCGGCAGACGCATGAGTCCCACAGACACTGCCTGCCCTGCTCTGGGCCCAGCACCCGTCACCCGAATGGGGCTGTGCCTGTCCCCGGGAGCGGAGGGGCCAACGGGGAGATGGTGGCAAACCGACCTTGACGCCCTGGCGTGAGCCTAGGCAAGGCCTGTGTCTGTCTCCCCAGGACAGGGAGGAGCCTCTGACAGGTTTTAAACGGGGCGTCCTGTCAGCTTTGCCTTCCTCAGAGGCCCTGGCTGCTGTGGGAAGGTGGGCTGGGGAGCTCGAGCGGGTGAGGACTGGAGGGGCCGAGCGGCAACGGGGGCCCAGCAGGATGGTCCTTGAGCCCAGACATCGGAATGAACGGAGGCTCTTGTTAAAGGTCCAGATTCTCTCTCCTCCCTGCAGCGGGGCCTGGGAGCTATTTCTGACAAGCCTAACGGCCACCTGTGTGTCGCCTGACTTGGACACCACTATCCAAGCCTCCTAGACCAGTGGTGGGCAAACTCATTAGTCACCAGAGCCAAATATCAACAGTACAATGATTGACATTTCCTTTGAGAGCCACATTTTTTAAATTTAAACTTCTTCTAACGCCGCGTCTTCAAAATGGACTCACCCAGGCTGTGGTATTCTGTGGAAAAGCCACACTCAAGGGGCCAAAGAGCCGCATGTGGCTCGCAAGCCACAGTTTGCCGACCATGGTGCTAGACCAAGACATGGGTGTGGGATGAAGAGAAGGACGGCAGCAGGCTGGGTGGCTGCTCAGAGCCGGCTAGGGTGGGTGATACTCGCTGATATGCCACCGCTGAGAGGAGGGCACCGGGGGCAAAGCTGGGGGCGGGGAGGTGGGGAACTGGTCTGGACCGGTGGTCCATGGGAGGGAATTCTGGTCAGGAGTCAGGCGGGCAGTGCAGCACGTGGCCCACACTCGTGACACCCACCCCGAAGTACACATTTTGAAAGGGGTAGCTCCTCCCTGAAGCTCTGGATGTGGTTGAGATGACACAGGAGAGTGCGGAGAGGTGAGTGAGGGCCCAGCCCCGCCCAGGACAGGAGGAGGGAGCTCTGAAGCAGGATAGGGGGCGGGGGGGGGGGGGGGGGGAGAAGGCGGGGCACCCAGCCTGGCTGGCTGTCCTTGCCAGGCTGTACACACCTGGGAGCAGGGGTGCACACACACATCCACTCAGGTGGCCTGTGACCTGTCCTCGATCCACGTGCCTCAGAAACACAAGGAGGCAGCCATTTGTGGCTCCCACTGCCTGGCAGTCCCAGGACCACCCCGCCTCCCAGTTCTGCAAATCCAGGGTTCTGTTGTCACAGAAGAGTGACAGTCACTTTGGACCTGGGCAGATGGCAATCAAACTGTGACCGCACCTGAGTGAGGGCACGCGGGAGGGGAGAGGCTGTGTGCAAAGTGGAGGTGCTGGTGGGAATGCTCGGCCTTGACCGGGGCTCTGGCAGAGGGGCTGAGAGGGCCTGCTTGCCTGGGACTTGGTTGCGTTCACACTGGAGCGCCTGGTCCTTCCTACATGTGTGAGCCACCAGTGCAGAGGGCCTGTGTTTGCTGGAAGAGGTGTGCCCAGTGGGAGTGTCCTCCTGGGTGCCCAGGGCATGGGCTGAGGGATCAAACGTGTGGTTTAGATACAAAGGTCTGTGTGTTTGTGTCTGCGTACAAACATGTGAGGTGAGCTGTCTGCACATGTGTGTGCATGTATGAGAGAGGAAGGTGACTGACTGCCCAGAGGAGTGTGCCCGCGAGGCTGAGGACCCCGGGACCCTCCACTGACCAGCATGTTCTCCTGCGGGTGGAGCACCAGCTGCCTGCAGGCCCAGCCCTCCTCGCACTCCTGCTCCCAGCCAGCGCCAGCAGCTCTGTGGGTGCGGCTGGCTCCATCCGGAGACACGGAGAAGGGCCTGGAGACCAGGAGCCGGAAGTAGTGCGGGATGTCCGTGGTGTTGGTCAGCTTCAGGTGATGGGTGGTCACCAGCTCACTCAGCACCTGGGTGGGCACAGAGGGCGAGGCTAGGAGGCATCTCCCCTCGCCTCAGGCCCAGGGCTCGGGGGCGGGGTGGGGCGGGGTGCTGTGCCTCAGAAGGGCCCACAGGGACCTGTGAGAGGGCAGCACACTCACCCCATCACAGGGCTGCACAGGGATGAGATCACTGGCCTGGAGCCGGAATCGCATGCCGCCGCCGTAGTCCAGCTCCACGCTTAGCCTGCCAGCAACAGGCATGGCGGGGCCAGGCTGGGCCTCTGGGGCCTCCTGGCCGCCCCCCACTCTGCCTGGCCAGCCTTTACCTGGGTTCACCTGCTGGCTGCTCCTCCCTCCCCCTCCCACTCCCATGATCTATCCCAAAAAAACCACCACCTATAGGTTTATACCCTCCTGCTCTATCCAGTTGTCTAGTCCCCACCAGGGCCGGGTAAGGGTGCTCCCCGGGGGGAAGGAAGGGAGGACTCACTGTGCGGGCCTCACGAAGCCCTGCAGGTCCAGCCTCAGGGGCCCCACGGCAAAGTCCTGCAGGCGCCGCCGCCTCCCGGGAAGCTCCCTTTCCACCTACGGGCC